CTGAACTAAATCTTTACCTGCACCAACCTTTTCAAACATTTTCTATGAAATTGCAAAAACAACTACCTTGTATGAAAATTGCATTTTATATTTTCATTTTAAAAATATCGCGCAGAATTTGCGCGATACTCTTGCTTTTTATATTATTATATATTATTATATATATATATTAACGCAAGTATACCAGTTATTTGTGCGTTTTAAAATAAGAAGCAAATTTTAAGGGTTATTTCTGCGCGAAAAAAATAAAAGGCATATAATAATTATTATTTTTGATGAATATAATAAAAATCAAATTTAATTATTATTTTTTGAGTTTTATTTTAAAAAGCTCATATATAAAAAGCATGCATAATATTAAGGATAAAAGTTGTTAGAATGATAACTATTTACTTAAATAAGAGTTTAGACAACTTTTTGTTGCTGCTTTTTTTCATAAAAAATTTTAAAATAACTGTTATTTTCGGTCCCTGCTAAATAATCCAGCAGTGTTGTTGTTTTATATGTTATTTTTAAAAGATGCGGTTTAGTGTCATTTACCATTAAAATTCTAGAGAATAACGTCAAAAATCACAACAAACTAAACTAATAACGTAGTAAATCTCAACAAACTAACCGATTATATAAAGACTTAACACCATCACTAGGAAAGGAATATATAGCTGACATAACACATATTAAAAATATCACCTGGATACTCAAAGCAAGAAGTAGCATGATACAGCTAAATGGAAACAGATTTGATATATATACGAGTAGATCTGCGCTCTGTAGTATGTGTAATTTAGATGAGACTGAAGATATTGTGCATTTTCTTGGTCGTTGTCCTATTCTACAAGAGTTCCGATTGGCTTGCTTTGGTAAAGCTATTCTATCTTATGAAGGCATTATAAATGTTTTAAATGGTTATAAAAATAAAACTGCTGAATGCCATCCTTTATAGTTATAATAATCAACTTTGGAAAACTTCCCAAATACAAAAAGTGTTTGGAGCATGTAATTTTTTACATTCGATTTGTAAACAAAAAACATATGATTTCTTTAATTTGGGGCAGTATGAACACTTTCGAAAATAACTAAATTTTATTTTCACGAAATCAAGGAAATTTTGCTGTCTGAACATAGCATTTGAAAGGCGTTTATATTACAGTTTGTGTTTTCAGATAATGACTTCATTTTTCTAAAAATGAACATTTTTTAGGTACTTATCACGTTTAGTAGACAACCATTTCGTAAAATATATAAATAGTATAAAAATGTAAAAAATGTTTTAATACGGATTTTAGCCAGCCTTTCGTTTATTGGTGTGGAGCTTAAGACCAAATTTCTCTACCTTCGGCTTACCGCTAATCCGATTCCGAATTCGTGCTTTGTTGCATGGCATCTGTAGTAGATGTCACGATGTTCTTGTTGTTAGCATCCTTGTCTCGTCCAGGTGCATATTCTTCAATCATGTTCCTTAGAATGTTTGCGGGTGTCATCAACGGTATGTGGTTTTCTTATTCGAGGCCGATTCTTTGTTTTCATGGAAGTTGTGTTTTTCCATAATGGGTTCCAAACCTGTCGCATAACCTCATAAATCCATGAGGAGGATTTTGATGCACTCATTAGTTCATTACGCACGGATGATTTTATCTATCCAGAGACTGTGTCTCAACTTCGAGATAACAGTGACAAGAATCGCGCTGGCATTTACCAATTCAAATGCAATTAGATAATTTACCTTGTATGTTCACTCCTCCCCCCTAAAGGAATAACTACTGTTCTTAATTAAGGGTGCTTTAAAACATATTCAAAATCATTTTCTAAGAGTAACAACACAATAAAAATAAATGGAAAATTACGATTGTGTCAAGGCTACAATTTATTAAGAACGAATAGCTCTAATGTGCAGAGCAAAGACGGATGTCAACGAAGACAGAACTCTCTACTGTGCTAATAGGCCACTGGTCAGTGAATCTACAGTAACAAAACAAGGACTATGCACAACTTGCAAAAAAGAGGAAGCTCAGCGACCATTGAAATTCGCGAGCATTGCAAGAAAGTAGACTGTGACACCACCATGACAGGCTATATAAAATTGTGTTACATAGTGAAGGGGTCTAAAAATGACAAAAATTTAATTACATTATATTTGAACGTCCCCTAATATATTAATTTTTATTACATGCAAGTTTTTTGTTATCGAACTATTTCTCGAACTATTTTTGTTTTTTATTAAAGCCTTTTCTGTTTGACTATTATCTGATCTCTAAATTTTGTAAATATTTTACAAATAGTGATTCCCATATTGATTTCAGATAAAAAAAGCGCTATTTCCATTCTCTGTTCTAGACTAATACGGTAGTATAGCATAGTGTTGTTGGTCCACTACTATAGTGGTAATGTTGTCGGACCATGTCTTATCCATACCATGTCTTATCCATATTGTCTTAGTGTGTTTCTTAAAGAATTTTTATATCTCTTACTATATTAGTTGAGCTAAATCAATTTTCGTTTTTTGCTTTAGGACTTTTTGGTTCATACTACGAATTTATTTAGAAAGGGAGTTGCTGATTTGTTCATATTAAGAACTAATATTATAAAACATTTATTTTGTTTATTCAATTTATTTAGTTTATTCGGTTAATATTTTTGTTATATTTTCTTTAATTAGATTAGTAAAATTTGGTTCTATGTTCTTTATCTGAATTTCATTAGCAAACAACAGAGAAGTTATAGTTTTGGAAAAACACTATTTTATCTATAGGAACAGTCCTTTTCTAATATGTATGTTAACTATAGCTTTTTGCTTGACTTTTATATATATAACGATTAAAGCTGGGGTTTGTTATCATATGTTAGGTTAGGTTAATATGGCTGGCTGTAAGTCACTCACAAATTTACTGGTTCCAGATAGATATATTAGATACCAAATAGAGTTACAATTCTGTAGATTTCTAGTTAATAGTCTTGCGAATTTAAAGAGACTGTTAAATATTTAAAGAATTTTTTGAACTTGTTTTTATATAAAGAGGTTTTTTCAAACAGTAGTGAATTACAACAACAAAAATTTTATTTTTTACATTATTTTAATTAATTGAAATTTTGGCTGATCATACAGCTGTTTAGAGTATTGCCAAATACCCATCATCAGTGGTCTTGGAAATAATTCTTGTGTTTAAATATTCGTAAATAATTTTTTGAGACTGCAAGTGGCAGGAAATGAACTCGTGTCCTGCCAAATTTGAAGCTCAGAGTCAGCGCATCTAAACCAACTGACTTACAGCCGTACTTGATTTTTTTGTTAGCACATTTTTTTGAAGTTTGTTGTTTGTATATCAAATCTCAGTGGGACTTGACCTCAGCTTATCAGGGCGGTAAATTATTATCAAACACAACAATAAAATATTTACTTGAAATCAATTTTTTTTTTCAGAAAAAAATACACAATATATACTTTATTCATAATACTTTGCATACATATTTCCTTTGGATTTCCAAAGAAATTATAAAATAAAATTGAGAATTTTTCTGAAATCCAGCAATTTTGTGTCCGGTTCACCATTCCATGGTGAAGATGGGTATACGTTTCAAGTACTTTCATTCTCTCAGCAGATTCCTGCAACTTAGCTGTACGCAATTTTGCATTATGAAACAAACCTCAATAGCTAAAAAATCGCTGGGATATTAAATACTCGTATACAGATCTTTAAACCATGTCAATAACCACTATAGAAATGAGTAGCGATCCTTTGACAGTTAAAGAATATTTTGTTAGAATATACATAAATTAATTTTAATGTCAGCTAAACAAATTATATGAAATAAAATAAAAGGAGGCAAAATTATGTCTAAATAAATGTAGACTCTCAAATACAACATTGTTTGATAACAGCGATAGAAGGGTTATTCCCCATTGATCAAGAGTTCAATCCTCAAAGAGGAGACGTTAAGGAGTAAAGTTTTTAAAAATTGTTTTTCAAATAATTTTCTATGAATTTAGTTATGTTCGAAATTAATTATTTAACAATTTAATAACTGCTGCATGAGACCAAAACTGCTAAAGCAAAATATTTATAAATTCACACATTTCACATTAATTTCATAAAGATAAAAAAACTTACAGATGAAAAAAATAAGTAAAAAGAGAAATTAAATGCCCAATTTTCATTGTTTGTCACGCCTTGCTGTGCCGATAGTTTTATGGGAAGTAGTATGAAAAAGTGCTCCAGTAGCATGAGAAGCGCTCCGCGTACCCTTCGTAAATATTTTGTTCGCTCCATGCTCTGCTCTGCTCCTCCGCAAATTGTGTTTGTCGAGCAATTAGCTTGACAATTATCACCTGAAATGCTGAACTACTGCGCTTCCATCATATAAAAGCAAAATGCTATGCACAATCGTTATCACTTAGATGGATATTACAACTGCAGATTGTACCAAGTGAAGAAACGTCTATTTGAGTTCAGTTATAAAAATTATAAAAATACGATTCGCTTTCTGAGGACATTCTTTTAAGAAAGTTTAAATAATAAAATGGAAAAGAACACTTTGTGGTTTATTTTTGTGCTCCTTATTGTATATTTTACGGTGGTGTTTTGTGAAGAAACTGTGAACCAAGATGAAAATGTGAATACTGAAGAAAGTAGTGC